GTACACTTCAGTATTTCAAAATTAGACATCGTCATTTCTAGCTTATCTTTTAATATTTTTTTTTAATGTTAGAACTTCACAATGAGTTACAAATATTTGATGATAAAGGTTATAGCAAGTGATTACTTTGATCTCTACAATATCAAAACAGTATATAGCATTAGAAATTATTTTGTTTCTATTTTAAATTATATCATATTTGCTCTTTGCCACAGTTCTTGTTCATATATGTTCATCAGTATCGTAGACTGAAACAGAGTGTGAAAAATCAGAACAAGATTTTGATTCAAAGAAAATTTTTTCTTCGATCGGGGCTAGACAACGAAAAAAAAATTTAAGATCGAAGCTAAACGAAAATTAAAAAAAAGTTTGCCTGTTTTGGACTCAAGTTCAAATTTGTGACACATATTTCTAATGTCAGAATAGAATCGGATAGTGATTTAATTGCTTATTAATTAAACTCAAGTATTCATTCTGTATTAATATCAAGTTTTCTTATTATTTTATAAGCCAAGATACGTTTATAAATCAGTGCAACTCAAGAGCATTCTTTAAAAAATAATTTAAAAAGTTATACTTGATAAGTTTGACTAGAAAAGATTAAAAAATTCTAAAAAATGATTGCCTATTTCCATACTATCTAACTGTCTGTCACCCAAGACTCAATCAACCATGACGAATTATTTTTTTTTGTGCGTAATTATTATGATTAAACAAATTCACTGCATCGTAGATTGTCAATCATCTTTGACTAACTTTTCATGTATTATCATTCACATCTTCAATCTAAGTGTTTTAATTAAAAAAAGCTTTCTGATCTTTTATCAATAGACGAATACATTTGTCGGAGCTTCACCGACACGCTTTAAAGTCTACTTGTATTTTCCAACTTTTCAGTAGTACATACGAGACCGTCAATAGCAGTATCAGAAAAACAACGACAAATCATAGACACAAAAAAAAAATGCGGAATACATATAAATGAAAAAAAACAAACAAACCATACACACGAACAAACTAACCCGTATTTTAAAAGATAAATTTGTGTATTTTTTTTTTTTTGATAAAATACGTTTTTTATTGTTTTCTTCTTCTTCTTAATCTTTTGATGTTTCTATCCAAAAATCATGCTTAGTTAGATATACGAATAAACAAATGAAAAGTACAACAGAAATCGCGAAAAAAAACCGAAAAAACAAGAGTTAGAGAGAAAATGTAAGTCTCATAGATATTCTTCAAATTGATGTTCAATAGATAAAAAATTCAAAATTTTTTTCTCATTCTTTATCTAATGTTCATCACTATGTTCATCTTGTTGATTTGATGGATTACCACCACTACCACTGCCACTTTGACCATCACGTGTATCAGGTTCAGGACAATCACGTGCAAAATGACCTGGTTTCGAGCATCGATAACAATTACCTCCACCACCACCACCGCCGCCGCCGCCGCCGCCTCAACCAAAGAGAATAAATAAAATAGAAATTCTATAAAATAGAAATTTACCTCGGTTACTACGGAAACCACCGCTACCACCACCTCCATAACTATTTCCACGTGGTTCACCACAATCACGACTTATATGACCTAAAGAAAAACAAAACAATTAATCTTCAATAAAATATAATTAACTAGAATTAAATCTAACCTGGTTGATTGCAATTATAGCATACACTTTGTGTACTATCCGATGGACAGTCACGAGCAAAATGACCCGATTGATTACAACGGTAACTAAAGACAATCGCAATGATATTAAGAAAAACTAATAAAATTATATATCTTACCAACGATTACCTCCTGATCTATTATCATACGATGAACCACCACCATAACCTCCGCCACGACCTGAACCACCTAAAATCAAAAACAAAAAAGGATATAGATTTTTCTCTTCGTCATTTTCAAAATCTATGATTTTTATTTTTAATTTAAATTTTCAAAATATTTTATCAAAAATTTATTATCTATTCGAAATAAAACACTGACCATATGAACCACCTCGTCCTCCATATGAACCACCACCACCACCACCGTACGAACCTATAAATATAAATTCAATGATTGCAATGCCAAAATCTTTTGCCATGTCAGACCTCGTCCACGACTATATCCACCACGTCCACCTTTAGAAAAAAAAAATTTCAAAAGATATTTTTCTTAAGAAAATCTATTATTCTTACCACTTCCGCCACCATCACCATCTGGACATTCCCGAGCAAAATGACCTGGCTATAAAAATATAATAACAATTAAAAGACTAAAAAAAAACACAAAATTCATTAAAATCTTACTTGATTACATTTGTAACATAAACTAGTTCTTGAACTCATTTTTGATGTTACGTTTTTCTTTTGATGTTAATTATTTTTATTCTTTTTTTTTTTTCTTCTACTACTTCACTCTCCTTACACACCCCACTTGCCTACAACACCAACTTGTCTCCCTAATCTTAAAAAAAAAAAAACATGCATGAGTCATTTATAAGAAATCTATTGCTTTCTTTTTTAGTCAAGATTTTAAACAAAAAAAAAAAAATTATTTTTTATTAGTTAGAATAAATTCATTGTTTATAATCGAAGATTCTAAACATAACTATTATCATTACCCTTAATAGATAGAAAGAAGACATTCTTATATATTCTATTGTAAATGAAGGTCATATTACATATACGTACATATATATATGTTATAGATACTATAAATTCTTCTAATTTTCGTTGTCTAGTCATCTCTTATTTTCTCTGTTTAGAGTGTAAGAAAGAATAAAAGATACATTTACACAAAACTAAAGCAACAAGGAAAATCGAGAATAGAATTATAAGAATCTAAATTTATGATGTCATATATAGTACCCATTTGCAAAAGATAATAAACACAAAGACAAACAAAACAACGTAGTGTAACTCTAAATGTAACCATATTTTGTGCCTTCGCATGCATCTTTCTATCATAAATGCATTTGTGTGTTAAAATATATATCAATGGTTAGAAATAACTTAATGGTTAGATCAATAGACCATTCTCTACACAAGACAAAAGAAAGAAGAAAAAAAAAAGAAATTTATCTTTGTACAAAAAAATTCGAAAATTTTCCTTTGAATAGAAGAAAAGAGATAGAACTACGTGTTAAATTAAGAGAAATATTTAATCTTTGATATTTCTTAATTTCTTTTTCTCTCTGTTAATTTAAATTATTACATTAAGATATTTCAAAATAATGAATTCAACACCAAAAATAAGTTGTTGTTTAATATGTTCAATTCTATCATCATTATCAAATATAAATTGTTGTCCAAAACATTTAACATTATTAAATAAAACATTATCTTCAAATTTATCAACACCAATTATTTATATGATGCCTTCAACAGTTAATGATTGGTCTAAATTAGATTGTCATTGTCGATCACATTGTTCAAAATCGAAACGACGTCGTCGATCTCGTTCTTCAAGTTCATCATCATCATTATCGTCATCATCATCAAAATCTCGACAGCAAAAAAGAAAACAATCAAAAACTATACAATCGAATGTAAGAATTTTATTGAATAGAAAAGAAAACAAAAAAATATTAAAACAATGTACGATTCTTTTTATAGGATGCTATACACAAAGATAATGTTACACATTCTTCAAGTAGAGAAGAAAATGCATCGTTTCATATTGCAGCTCAGGAAATATCATCTGTTTACCAACAACATCGATCAAATCAGTTAGTATTGGATTTTTTGTTGAAAACAAAAAAAAGGAAACTTTTTAGCATAGAAATGAACATGTTGCGGACTTTTTTCTCAAGATTTAAATTGAATTGAACAAAAACCCGATACAATTTGAGTTCAAGCAAAAATTAAAAAGATAGTAATTGTTAATATATATTAATCTTTTGGTTACAGGAATTCTGCTAAAATAACAAAAAATGTAGACTTGTTTATAGAAGCTTGAAGTTGGGTATTTATATCAAAGAAAAATAATTCATCGCGTTCAACATCATTAAATTCAGTATTTGCAGAGTTGCCCAAAATCTTGCGGAATCCATTGCATAGTTTCACTAATAACCTTTATGGTTTCGTGTTATAATATAGATCAAACAAAATTATACCGATTTTATGAATTTCTTTTAGGTTTGACAAAACTTTGAACGATTTGGGGTATAGAGACTCTATAAGTTCTTATAGATCTCTAAATCCACAATTTCTTATTTTTTACTTCATATACATGCACAGTGATATTAAAAGCATAAAGAAAAGACAGCATACTCAATGATCGAAGGAAGAGAAGAGATTGTAAAAGTTATAATCTACTTAAAAGCTCAGCTCGTATATAATATATACAGACTTTTTAACTAAAGGGTTAAAGCTTTTGATTATCTTCATTTATGTTAATTAAATATTCAATGATGTACTTAGTCATATGAAGTCAGAATATTTATACCTCATAGCAAGTAGACTATATGATTAGTAAGGGTGGAGCAGTGAAAATTCCTCTTCTTCTAAATTCTCTCTTGCTTCTAACCTTTTGTTCCTGAAAGTGTTTTCTGAGCGAATATATGATGAAATTTATTTATTGTGAATATTTTCATGGGTGACCATCGTTCTATTTTCTAACAAAGATAATTCCTTATTTCCATTTCCAGAAAGAAAAAAGTATCTTTTTTATTTGCAAACACTTTCTCCTTGAATATCTTTTCTTCATCAATAAAAGCGAAATGAAAAAAAAAAAAAAAATTAGACTTCAATAGATTCATTTGGTTTTCTAAACTCTATCATTGATTTTCAATCGGTAAATAATGTTACTAAGACTATTTACTCATAACACTACAATCATCATTATTTAAAAGAAATGCGCCAATTTAAATTTTGCTTTAATCAGGTTTTCCCTCCAACCTAATAACGAAATCTTAATTGATTCATATTCTAGTGTTCGAACTCCATTATCACCTTTATTTCGATCATCTTCATTAATCAATACAAATATGGATAATAAAAATAAGAAACTACAAAAGAAAAAGAAAATTTCATCTACTCCAATTGCAACTAAACCTAAGGAACGAAATATTGATCGAATGTAAGTATATGATTGATTATTTATATTGAAGAAATGTTTGATTGTGTATTTGATCTTTTCTTATCATAGAGAATCGATAGTGCAATATGAATCTCTTCAATCGAATCATCAGAGAATAAATAAACAATTACAATCTCCAGGTTTGATTGAATTCTTATTTTTAACTTTTAGACAATTTAAATATACAAGCGAACAATTGAGAATTTCATTATTTTTATATATAAATTTAACATGAAAAGTTAAAATAGGATTTTTGTAATATCATTTATTTGCTACAAGTTTAGAAAGGACATACAATTGATCATGAGTAGTTTAGTCTCAATCTTGGTGATAGTTTCGTTTGAATAATTGTTTTTTCTCATAGAAGAAGACTACATCCTCCTGACAAACAATACTAGCTGTAATTCTGCACAAAAGGACAGCCGAACGCAAAGTTTACATGCTCGATTTCTCGAGTTTCCATGTACACTAACTAACCATAACGTCACAGCACAACCAGCATGCTATTGAGGAGGTGATTTGAATACAGTACCTTGTAAATATGTGTTGAATAACACCACTTTGATAGTCATTTTTTCTCGTAGTCCCGATACTTTTTTTCGGTTCGACTTCTGCACATCTCTATTCATTAGTCCTAATTATGTATATATTCTCTTTTTATTATTTTAGTATATGCTCCACGTATTCTTTTAAATCGTGTTGTTCATGTTAAAGATGAAGGCGAAGCTTTATTTACTAATAATCGTCAAATGACTCTAAATATGGCTCAAGCAACTGAACAAATGATTGTACAAAAAGATTTAAAACCAAGAATTTTACTTCAACGTGTTTCCTTATAACTATAGAATGATCAATGATGATTAATAATCATCTAGTCAATTCAAATCATAAACATACCTTCTTATGTTATTAGTCATATATATATATATATATACATGTATGCGTATGTGTGGATTTTTTTGCGTTATCTCTATGTATTGTGAATAATCGTGTTCGCTGTTTCGAACACTTACTTTGCTTTTGTTTCTTCCTTTTGTATATGAATTTCTTTAATTCAAAAGATAGAATAGGGATCTGATATAACAAGAAAATAAAGCATTTTTCAATTCAGATGTCAAATTTAGAAGAGAAATTAAATATATTAAAAAAAAAGAAATTAACAGCAAAAACAATTGTTGAACAACAACGAAATGAAATGCGTTTATTAAAATCTACATTAACAATAAATGAACGATTAGAAGAAATTTATAAACGATTTGATAATAAAATTAATATAGATAATAATCTTTATAATAAAATTCTTCAAATATCAAATGATAAAAATGAAAAGTTTTCTTTAAATGATCAAATTCATCGAGCTATTGAAGATTTATCAAATATAATTGAAGAAATTCTTATTATACTTTCAATTGATAATAATATTCATTTAAAAAATCATGAACTGGATATTATTTTAAAAAAACAAAAAGAATGTTTTCAATTAATTAAATGGAAATTATCAGATATTTATGCAAATCGTATTGCTGATGAAGTGTCTTGTATAACAAGTTAATAGTAAAAAAAACTAGGTTTTCTTTTATTTTCAGATCACATGAATATTAATAAAAGAGATAAATTATGTTTTGAACAGTTAAATTTACCTTCAGGTTTACTTCTTGGATTGTATGCTATGGGTTTTCAAAATGGTCCATCGGATACACAAGCACTTATTTTACCTTATTCATTATCTGACCAATTTCAAAGAAATATTATTGTTCAATCAAAAACTGGAACTGGAAAAACGGTAGATTATTATAAAATATATTTTGTTTGTCAAATAAAATATTTATTAGTCAAGTTTTTCCTTGCTGAATAGAAGAGATATGTGCAGGATCGGAACCACGGAACAGAGAAGTTACTGAGAACAGAACTTCAAGAGAAAAACTTGATCCCGTAAATCTCGAGTCTTGACTCTGCTCATGAATATATGTATACCCAATCTTTCTTCTCTCATCAATAGAATCATTTGAGATGAGCTGAAAATATACTGGATAATTTTAATTTGTTGTTCTTGGTGACTATCATTTAACGTTATTGACATGAAACATATATAGAAAAACATATTATATGTGAAATGTCTCTTCCACGAAATTTTCTTGAAGATATTTCAAAAATTTCCGAACTATTTATGCTCATCAATGTCTAACACTGTGTTTGGAGACTTGTGGAACACTTTGTATCCAGGATAAGAAAATCTCGCACATCTCTCTAGAATGAATACCAGCTATTACTTCATATAATATTGAAGTTGAGTTACTCTGAACGGTTCTAATTGCTGATCACAATTAGAAAGCGTTTGTAGAGCAATGAATCCGAAAATACAATATTGTTCAATTATTACATTAAAAAACATAAGATAAGAATATAAGGATTGATATCTTATTATAATTCAACGACAAAATCTTATAAAGTGATAAATTATTCATAAAAAAAAGTATTATCTCATTAGCTCATCCCTATGAATAGGAGAGAAAGTCTAACAGCAATTATGTGCATAGATTTTTCTTCTTAAGTTATGGTAATTTCAATGAATTTTTCAATAAAAATCCTGTGGTTTGTCGCTTTCAGATCACCTTTACCATCGAATTTGGGGTTTCAAATGGAAACTTTGAGCAAATGAAGTTCTTAATATTAACTTATTCATTGTGAATGCGCTAGATATTCTAATGTCGTCTATCCTGTGATACCAAATTTGAAGATTTTCTAAAGACCATAAAGTTTTGTTAAAAAAAACTGATTAATTATGATCATAACTCAAGAAAGAAAATTATGGGTACAAACTCTTCAAGATTATCTATTTCGAATTGAAAAATTCTATACTAATTATCATATTTTAGTCGACATCTATATGAACAACACTTTTTACATAAATAAATCAAAAGTTTAAACTTACTTTGATTTCTAATCATTGATTATTTTTAAGGTTTCCTACATCATACATGTTCTTGCTCGTATTCAATCTGTTCTTTCTCAACCACAAGCTTTAATTATTGTACCTACTGTTGAACTTGCTTTTACAGTTGGATCTGGTATTGAAAAAATGTCAATTTATCTTCCAAATATTCAAATCACATATGCAACATCTTCTCTATTAACACAAACACCATTTAATACACCAATTGTCATTGGAACAATAGATAAACTTGATTCATTTCAATCATTAATAAATTTTTCTCAACTTGAAATACTTATTATTGATGAAATTGATACAATGATTATACGTGAAGATTATCGACAATCTTTACTTAATCTTTTTGATAATCTACCATTATTAAATCATTGTCAAATACTTGTTTATTCATCAACATTATCTGAACAAATAATGAATTTTACAAATGAACTTATACCAAATTCAATTTTAGTTAGACAAAGATCAGATAAACAACAATTAAATAATATTGAACAATTTTATATTATGTGTCATGATGAAAATAAAAAAGATATTATTGTTAATGTTATATTAGAACAATTTATCAAAGCACAAATTATGATTTTTTGTTCTGATGATGAAACAACAGAACGACTTTATCAAAAGATTATGATTGATAATAAAAATCAGTATGTCTTTTTTTTTTTAATAAAACAATATTATTATATCAAATAAACAAATCATTTCAGAAATCTATGTAGTATCTAGTTGAATGAATTTGTTTTTATTTGTTGAAATAATGGAACATATTGATTATTCATTTGACATAGATTCTTTACAAGGATTATTTTTCTGAATAAGTTCTTTTAGCATAGACATACGTTTAAATGTTGACTCTTTCAGCTGACTATTAATTAAAAAGTTTATTAGCGAATATCTTCCTAACTATATGACAAAAAAGAAAAATTCGAAAACTTTAGGATCAAGTCTACGGCACGAACGTCATCTATGATGAAATTTTCAGCAACATCAAATTCCAAGAAAGTACATCTATAAAACCGGCTTTCAAGAGATCCTGTCAAGTTTCGAAACAAAAATTTCTGTTTTACTATCATTTGATGGTTTTGAAGAAGGATTTTGTATCATTTGGAATTGGTTTTGAACTTCCTATTTGGTGAGAGTAAGTTAATGTATATATAACCTACAAAAATCAGCTTTCGAAAAGTTCATTATTCCAAGATATACGCACTTTAAATTTGCAACGTCACATCGCTAACAAATGATTTTACTCATAGCTAAGAATTCTGTCTAAATTGGGAAAACATGTATTCATCATTTATTTATAATACTCAATTTTTCTTTCTACTTCTATATGATTTTAAGACAATCTATATGCTTAAAATCTATGCTTTTATGCATCGATTTGAGAGAGCTTTTTCTCTTAATGCAGAATTCTAAATATTTTCCAGTTACAAGTTGTTTCAAAAGTCAATTCACATTCATTCTTATTAATAGCAAAATCTAAGCGTTAGACAACTTTCTGTGAAATAGTTCATTATAATTACTTCAATTCCTTTCGTTATTTTGAACTTTCAAACATATAAATCATTCATTGTTCTTGCCATGTCTTTGTACAAACTGAAGTTGAACAGTGTTAAGTACAATGAAAAATTTGTTAACGATCGAACTATAATTAAGGGATTGATTTATCCGATGATAAAGAACAACCTGTTAGCGTAATTTCTGTGAGATTAAAATGTGAAACACGATATAACTATTGTCATTAATCACAGGATGATTATTATAATTCTATTTATTTTGGGACACATTTTATCACCAGCCTTTTACTTAATCATTCAGAAGTTCAAACAGAAAATAGTTCAAATATTTTAACAATACGTTATTGATGTACAGTTTTTGATCGTATATTAACAACGTTTGTCACTGTGTGTGGGTTTAAATTTTCACCCGTATACTTCAACACTACTTGTAGATCATGTTTCAAAAAACTAGATGATTAAGATAATAATAGAGCATTACTATATTTCTGTTGAAAAAAATTTACATTAGTATTATAAATTCTGAAAAAATATTCATTTGTAAAAATCATTAAAAAATTTCTTTCTTTTTCTATTTAGTACTCGAATTCTAACTACTAAATTCAATAATCAACAACGTATTTCATTAATCGAAGAATTCCGTTCAAATTCATTTCGAATATTTCTTCTATCTGCTCAAACATCTGCTACTACTCATGGTATTGATTTAGATAATGTTAGTATAGTAATCAATTATAATTTGCCTTGTTCACTTGGTATCGATTCCGATCTTGATTATGTTACTTATCATCAACGACTTGATCGGTGCGGACGTTATGATAAACATGGTTATCTAGTAAGAAAAAAAAAAAAAAAACAACTTATTTATTTAGATTAATTTTTAATTATTATTTATATAGTTTAATTTAATTCAAACATTAGATGATTGGAATATTCAACTTGGTGAACAAAATTATTTTTCTTTTGTTATCAAACAAATTGATATTGATGGTATTCGTGAACTTATATTATAATATTATGAAATTATATCTATTCATCGATATATTGTTTTTTTTTCTTTTCTTTTTGATATTTGCCTTTCATTTTGTTTTGTTTATTTTCAAATAAAAAATACAACGAAGTGTAATAGAACAAGTCATGTTTGTATTTGTGTTCGTATAATATTTTCATCTTATGATTATTAAAAATCAAATTGATCAGTCGACCATCGATTTGTGAGCTGATCAAGATTACTTGAAATCCATGCTGAATAGAGTAATTTCAATCGATTTTCATTCAAATATAATATATGACCTCGACTAAAAGAAATAATAAAATTAAATATTTTGATTTTCAATTTTTTTGTATTCAAAATAACCTAAGATTAATATCTTCTTCACCATGTTTATCAAGATAAAGTGATGCCCAATAAGTATAATGTTGTTTTCGTTGAATTAACGTTTTTGTAGAATTAATATTTATTGATATATTTAAACCATCATTACATGAAATAAAATGCTGAAAAATTTTGACGATTTCATAAATAAAATAAATAAACAACATCTAACCTCGTTGATAGAACATGTTTGCTGACTACAACATTTTGTTTCGGAACTTTTTTGTGAATAAACCATTCCACAGATTAAACATAAAGTAGGTTCAGTAATTAATGTTCGACAATAAGAACAATGAATACGACTACATGATTGAAATAAATCTGAATAACATGCAGGTAAATCAATAAAACGTGGTGAATCAAACAAAGGTATTGCACGAGCAATATGCTAAACATTTATAATCTTCTAATTAACAAATCAACATTGAATAAGAAAAAAAAAATCTTACACGAACAAATATTGAATGTTGTTTATCGATTCGAAATATTTCATCTAACCAATTGATAATAAGTGATAATGAATCATTACAAAACCAATATGGTTCACCAACACCGTACAATTGTAATTCTCGAATTAAATTTTTCCATAATAAATCAAATTGAAATTGACGACCCGGCTTTAAAAAAAATGATTATAGATTGTTTTTTTTTTTTATTTATTGAGTTGAAAGTATAGTCCTGAACAAAAGTAGTTGGCACTCCTTGAGATGTTACTATTCTTTATGATATTGACTTAATATTTTGAATGTATGCATGCGACAAGAAATCCTAATCACAAATACCAACTGATCCTTCATCAATTCAAATGTAGTAAAGTTATGATTGACACATCTTTCTCTTGTGACAACCATATCTAAACTATGTTGGCAAAAATACTTTCGTGCAATCCTCTCATTCGATAGCTAATATCATAGCTATATCTTAGTTTGAGTTTTGTAAGAAATCACTTTAGAATAATTGATATATGTAGTCAGGGTTTAGTGTTACACGCATTTACTCAAAATATCAGCTTAATATAATATAGAATAGTAGTACTTTATGGGAGGTAGATACTTACCAACCACCATGTTATTGGTTGATAAAGATGATGCTGTATAAGAGCAGCTATTTTAATGAAATTTCCACATCGTTCATGAATCGAATCATTAATTGATTCAAGAGTCCAAACTTTTGACTAAACATCATAAAAAAATTTCTTTTTTTTTATTATGATTAATATAGACATACGTTATCCGTATCTGAATTAAAATTAACTTGCAATAATTTAAACGATATAATACGAAGATATTTTATCATATTCTTCAAAAGAAAATATTTCATTTTATTTATTTTAAACAAAAAAAAAAGATAATTAAAAGATACATTTTCAGATTTGTTTGTGTGAATATTACTCCATATTTCTTGTTCAGTTTTGTTCATTTCACTAACAATGGTAAATAATGCTTGAATATAAGATAGATTAAATATAGCTTGTATAATCACTTGATAAGATTCTAAGACAAAAAAGGAACTTATAAAATGACGAATTGTACAATCATACGTAAAATACCTTTTGTAATTGAATTAGATAAACAAAGCATGATTCGAAGAAGTAAAGCAACTGGATCAAAGAGTAACAATGGAACAGTTTGCTTATGAATAATTGCTGTGTTATCATGATCGTCATTTTCTAACTTGATATCCACTAGACCAGTAATTCGATACCAAAGTGATATATGTGAATCATTCAATAGATGTGGATATTGTAAACTGTAGATGTAAAACAATTCACCTATAAAACCAAAACAATGGAAAAAGCTGCTGACGCAATCTCAGTGGAATAGAAATATGAAACATGCTGCAGTTACTCTTACTAATTACAAGAAGAGTTCTTTCTTCTGTCTTCCAGAAATTCTATGGTCGTATATCAATAAAGTCTGTCACGATCTGTGTGAAATCGAAATTTTTTTACTCATATATTTCAACACTCTTGTCAGTTGTTGTTTCACAAAAGTATTTGAGAACGATTAGATTAATGTAAATCTCTTGAGTTAAAAGAAAATCGGATTTTCAAACATTTTAATCATCCAACGAATGTTTTTGATTCACTCAGAAGTTTGTTTTTGAACTATCGATCAATTGATACTCATATAACATGGTCTTATCTAATTTTTATCCATTCATTTATAGAAGAACATACGAAAGCATGATTTTCTATTGATTATTGTTGTAACAATATGTTCCGTATCTCGGATGAGTAAATCATTCTCTAGATTAAATCTATATGACATTAAGAAAAAAACACAAATAATTTTAGGATGAATTTAAAAGAAAAAAAAATGACCTGAGTATGGAAACAATAAATAATTCCATAATATCATTATTTAGTTCTTTCTCATGTTTATCAATTGTTCGTTGGTTTTTATTTACCATTATATACATTTTTTGAATAAAACTTATTAACCAGTCAGCTATTGAAGGAGAAATCTTTAGAGAAAAGAATAAATTTTATTTTAGGTTTCCAAAAACAAGTTTATTTACACAAGGTTTAACATTTTTTTCAATGAGATTAGTAACTGAATCAATTAAATTTTCATTTAATTCGTTTTGTTTACTAATTAGTGGAGTATAAATTAGTACATTTGATATTTGACGACACATCGGACATTTGAATTCATTAGGTAAATCGATTTCTGAATTGGTTTTTTTCTACAAATAAAAAATCATTTTTTAAAAATATACTCGATAGACAACGAAATTTTACAATATGAGGTTTTAAATATTGTTCATAACATGATAAATGTATTGAATGACCACAAGAATTAATAATTACACCTGTTCTCCAACTGATAGTAATAGATTTTGATACACTTTCCTAGATTTAATATTTGCAATTAGAATATAATGAAAAGATTTAATTACTTCAGAAAAAATTTGAAGCATAGCACGTATTTTATCTTCATAAAATTGAGCACAGGTTAAGTCATTTTTATGTTTATATTTCTGATAAATAGTACCAGATTTGTCAATTGCAAATGACTGTTGTTTATCATTTAGTTTAGTGGGAAAATGACAGCAAGTTAAAAGATCTTTTAACGAAGATTCATCAATATTAGAATTGTCAATAGATAATGGCAAAAAATTATCTGAAATATTGTTGATTTCTCGAATTCCAAGAACTATTTAATGAAATCAAAATAATTTGCGAGATTCTATAAGAAAATGATTTACCGCCAGTATCAATTAGTCTAACAACTAATCCAAGTAGATTTTGATCATCTTTACTTCGACAAATACAACATTCGACGTTATTGTCTTTATCATCACTTGTTAGAACTATGCAAATCGATATATAGAAAATATGTTATATGCTCGAGACAGTTCACAAATAACATAAGGAAAGAAATACAACGAAATGTAAACAACTTTATCATTAATTTCAAAAAATCTAAAAGTATTGAACTCATTGAGATTGATTCGAATTAACCAGGAAACATAGCCAACTGTTGTGCGCTATTAAGTTTCATATCACGATTACGAGTAGGTCTCGATGAGAATAAGACAAGCTTGAAAAGATTAAAGCCCATGGCCCACTGATAAAGAGAGTTATGGTTGTTTCAATGGAATTTTCACTGGGAATAATGCATTTCCAAAAAATCTAAAATAAGGAATTTCGACTTGAAATATGGTTTATGGACACGTTTGATGGTCAATAGACAGCTTTGAAAGTGTCAACAAAAACGAACATGTCTATCTCAAGATAATCGATTTTAACTAGACTTCATCATTGTGTTCTCCTATCATGAACTGCTGCTCTTTTGAATATTGAATATATTGAGAAAGACATATTCGTTTTCATTGAAACTTTCAGAACTATCTAATAACTATTAAAAGTGTCTATAGGCAAAAAATTTCAGATCAAAACTCTTTGTTTTGGATTTTTCGGAAATGCCTTTCTCCTCTAAGTAAAAAATTTCATTCAAACGTTCACAACTTTATCAGTAGATCATGGACCCAAATCCTTTTAATCTTGTCCTAATTGCATCGAGATCTACTGGTAATCATAATATCAAATCGAACAGCATCCATCTAACAATTGGATATGTATTCTCGTAAGAGTCAGTAGAATATCAAATAATCTTATACCTTCTTCTTTATGTTCATCATTCGATGCTGTTAAAAGTTTTTGTTGTTTTTTAGCAATATCTTCAAATATCTTTTGTTGTATTGCTTTAGTCTTAGTTTTTCTACAAGCATACAATCCATTGATTTAGAATATTTCATCAAAAACAAAAATATGACATTTTTCACTTATATTACTTGTTAACATTATCTATATTATTATTTGATTGACTATGATCTAATTGATTAACTGTTTCATTTATTTGTACTTTACATTCATTACATAGTCGTTCAAGTTTAACCAGAAGACGAGCAAGATAAATAGTACCATTACCAATTCTTTCAAATCCTTTATTCATACGAGCTTTATCAAGTAAATGATTCAATGAAGTTTTGCTATTGTTCATATCATTTATATTTAATACTATTTTAGATAGAAGATGAACAAGCATTTGTATTAAAGACATATTGATATGTTTTGTTTCAGTTATATATTTAGAATTTGTTTGTATTGAAACTGTACTAAACTTTATTGATGATTGATCAACTTGAAATATGTATTAGAGAAAGATTTAAAAAAGTTAATTTTTTTTTTTTTTTTATTAGACATACGATAAATATTTGTACAACTTTTTTCTTTATTTAATTCTTCTTTGCATACAGATTCAATGATGTCTACAATGAATATATATATATATATATTTATAAAGATCTTTTGTTTATGAACATAATCAACCATTTTCAATATCAAGTATAACTCGTTCAAAAGAGATTTTTTCAATGATAGTATGAGCATTAATAAGCAAATTATCTTGGTCATAAAATGTCTCATATTTTCCATCAATAATTCTTTCTGTTTTCTCTTTTTTCTACAAAAAAAAAACTAATTAAGTATGAAATCAATAAGATTTTATTTTATCATCTCACTTTTTTAATTCGTGGTTGACTATTCTCGTGTTCTTCTTTATCGTAATTATTTTGATAAAGCTGTGATTTTAAAGAATCTGATCTCTATTATAAAGAAAAACTAACAAAATACAAGTTAATATATACAAATAAACGATACAATAAATTGATTTTCAATATCATAGAATGGCATTGAATAAGACCTCGAATAATAATAATTCATTGACATGCTACAATTCTAAAAAGTTCAATTTCTATAAACTTACATTTGATCACGTATAGATGAGTCTTTTGTCATAATAAGTTTATCCCATTGTTTTTGAATTTTTTGTTCATGTTCAGAAATTTGGTTAAATTTGATTGCCTTGAAAATATAAACAATTAAATACAAATATCAAAGTGGCATCAGAATATTGAACTTACACAACGAGTATAACATTGTTCAACTTCATTTAAACATTCTCGTTTGTCATTTTTTTGACATGAACTTATTTTTGAATTACTGCATGGTATATGAATTAGATTTGACAGTTCTTTTGTATTGATTATACTACTAGAAATATCGATTTGAATTGATTAGATTACAACAATAACAACAAAAAACTTTACCGAACATTCTCATCATCTACATCAATATTAACTCCAATTGAAGTGAGTTCTGTTTCAGGTAATTCTATTGGTTGTTCTTGTTGTTGATATTCATCAATATTTTCATCCTCTAATGACGTCAATGTTTCTAATGAAACTGAATGATCAATTCCTAAATTATTATGACATTGAGGTGATTCAATAGTTGATGGAACATAACCATTAAGAAATTCACCATATTTTAATCGACGAATTTGCTATGCAAATGACGAATATATTAAAACAACACGAAAGAACCATCAATCTATTGCTTACATCATCAACAGCTAATTCACATAGATAGACTAATAATGATAGAATATCTTCTTGAATAATTGTTTCATTCATCATCTATAAATATTTCTTATGATTGAATTGAATAAAAAAAAAAAACATTGCTACCCAATGACAAATAGAAAATAAAACTCCATGTAAATATCGACTTTGAAGAATACATCTTAGATTTGTTTGAAATTGATCTTTTGGTTTATGTAATCGATATGGTGGCCAAAGATTTGTCTCATATGAAAATTTATTCATTGATATCACCCTAAAAATCATAAACTATTATCTTTTATTTTTCATATGTATATGTTTTTTTCTTCACTTCTACCATTGAGTATATCTTTGCATTGTTGTTTCAAATAAATCTCTTCGACTTATTCTTGATAAAACATGTAATGGATCAAATTCATCTTCCCATAAAAAGTCTTAATTAATATTTCCAAATATAACCTTCAATCTCAATTGAACAAAGTCTTACCTTTTAATTTATATTGTCCTTGTTTTGGCTGATTTGTTATATCGATTGTTGGTGGAATGTATTCAGCAACCTAATCAATAAATTTTAATAGAAAAAAAAGAAAACATGATGAATGTATAATCCAAGCCGTTACATGTTCATACATCGTCGACAATGCGTTGTATGTCATGCTTAGCTGTTGAAAAACCTTTAGGTTCACCTATATGTTCATCTAAATAGGAATAATGACAATCTTGTATTGCTAATGCATTAATTATTTCAGCTCGGCGACGTTCAAAATCGTCTAATGCTAACAAAAAAAACAAAAACAAAAAAATTGTCAATAAAAGAAATTCAAAAAAAAAAGTAATAATAAATTTATTGATTTACCAAGATGTGGTGAAAATGCAACGATAGTAGCTAAAACTATAAGACTACCTTCAAGTAGAGTTATATAACTTGATTTTTCAAAAATTAGATTATTTTCTGTATTTTGAACAAGCCATTCATGTACGTAAAAGCTAAGATCAAAACAATAAAAGTATCGTAGAAACGTTCAGACAAATATTATCTAACCTTTTAAAAAACATTTCCATAAATGTATTAACATTGACTAAAGTCGATATCAACTAAAAGTAAACAAATAATTAATTGATATTTAATTTCTATTAATACTTGTAATAGAAAAATATCTGCATCATTCATATAGGAACAGATATTTCCGCGAGTACTAAAATACATATCAGATTGTATTTGCATTTCATAACTATAATATGACCATATTATATTTGTTAGAATTTCATATTTAACAACTTGAATTCGTAACGGAAATATTGCAAGATTAAGTAAAAATATTTCATTTTCAATTGGAAATAAAGTTCTTAATTCGCCATTTTGATAATTAAGTGATACATAATTTAAAATAGATATATAACGATGTAAAGGTAGATGAAATGTTACTTGATTTCTTATAATCTAAAATTAAAATATACAGTGTACGTCAATTGAGTTTCTCCACCGTTGTATTTTTTACTTTAGACTATTATCGTTTGCTTTTTTTTTAATCATAATTTGGTATATAATGAGAAAGTAGAGACTTCATGATAGGGAGTTGTTAATCTTTCTAGATCCATGTCCGAGTTCGAATCTAATCAACAAAAAAGTGGACCCGCAGCTCCCTATAGGTGAGTATCGACCAGAATTAAATTATTGTGTGCAAAATTTGGTTAATTTTTTTGAATATGTATAAAACTGATTGATACTTATTTCGGCATTGAAAACTGTTGTGTCTTTGATTGTAGTAAAGAATCATACAATCCTTTTTTCTGATGTATTTTTTTTTGGTGTTTCATTCCTATAATGTTATTTATGATTAATATATTATGTGATGCAATGAAGTCTGTACTTTCTCATTATACGCCCATTATCGAAAAACAAAAGCAAATTATAAGTCTAAAATAAGTAATACAAGGATGGAGAAATTAAATTGAGATGCACTGTAATTGTTAAATTGATTTATGCAAAAAATTACATCTTTATATTGTTCAAATCCAATTGATGAAAACCATTGTTTAACTTCAAGAAATAGATAATTAATTACTTTCATAGTAATATCCAGAAAATCCTATCAAGTTGTTTTTTTTTTCTTTTTGTCTTTTGAAAACAATTTTAACATTCAAAAACTTACTGGCTTCATAATATGAGCAACAATTGTCCATACAACCATAGCACAACATTCAGTTTCCATCGTAAAAGCAAATAGATAATTCGTATTTGATTGTAATAAAATTTCTGATTCAATTTCATGATGATTAACATTCATACCTTAAGAAAAAAACCAAAACAAAACCATGTAAACAACAATTTTAAATTTTATCTTTTACCTTGAAACCAACTAATTATTTTAATCCAAGTTATAAAAAATCTTTTCTCTAATAAGAATTCTCTACTGGCATATTCATGTGACAATATATTAATAAAATCCGAAATTATAGGCCAATAATGCATATTTTTTGAAAAATCCATTTCATATATTACTAAATGATAATTTTCTTTTGGTTTTTGTAATTGACAATTGATTTGTATATTAGCAAATATTGAATAAAGAGATGAAAGTATTAGTTCCATCAAATGATACTCTTTTATAGCTTGAACTGTTATATTGCTATTAGAAAATAACTGTACACTCATATGTACAAGTCGAGAACTATTCATTCTTTCACGAGAATTTTGACAATGAATTAATCGATCAATTATCATCCCATAGATATTTAGAAATGATCGAATACATAAACTTTTGAAATTCAAGTCAGTTAATAACATGAGTAAGGATTTTAATAATCGTTCAGGAATTTGATATTTAACCAGCCAAAAAAGTATTTCATCAAGAAGACATGTTGCTTTTTTAATATGAAAATAAACTGATGAATTATCCGTGCGTAAGGATATTGGCATGAGTAAACTAGATGTTTCATTTAATTGTTGTAAATAAACATCATACGAGATATTTGGAAGATCATCAATTAATGATTGAGTATTGAATTTTTCGTATAATTCTATATTAAGTAAACAATCAGTAAAAATCGTACGAATGCATGAGCCAGCATTACATAAATCATCAAATAGATCAAACAGAGATGTTAATAAAGTAAATTCTTCAATAGTTGAATACGTATTAGCCTCTGTATAAGACAGAAACTTTCTTCTTAAGTTTCATATATCTCGATACTTACTAGTAGGTGATGCATGACTTCGTAAATGTTGAACAAACCGAAGAATTAATCTTGGTAACAGTATTTGAGTACATCGAATCAGTTTATATGGTATATGTGCATTGGGAATTCGATTAGATCCATGATGTTTACAAAAACTATTTGAATTCATTACAGTTATATCACCACAATCACATATGCCACCACCAACACTTCGAAACATATTTGCATCATGTCCATAATGATTTCCATTATGAAAACAATCAGGACATAGACTAAAAGATATTTTTAAATGAAATTTCTTTACTTCCTACTTTTTTCCTATCGTTTACCTCATGCATGGATTTGTTGCACATGTTCGACAACGATAACTTATGGTTGTATTAGTCCATACAAAACCACATAATACACTGCCATTATATTTACGTACTAAGTAATATAGATGTTTTTTTTTTTGAGAATTTTTTGAAAAAGAATCTACCTTCTTTACAAAACTCTTCAAATGGTTGTCCACCGCTTATATATGATTTAATTGTTGTTAAATGTTTTTCTATTGTTATTGAAAGTGATTGATGTGGATCAAACAGAGTATCAAGAAATGTTTGTACACGCTTTTCATTATTGTCATCTAGACAATAATTACGAAAATGGATACCAGATGGTAATAATACTGGGTTTTCCATGTCAATTTTCTTATCTCTATAAAAAAAAGAAGTATGTGATTTTCTTATGATGACATTTAAACACATTCAAAGAGTCATACATGAATAATATCGAAAGTAAATAATGATGAAATAAAAACGCGCTTTTTTTTCTAAGCTATGCATTAGAAATATGAAGAGTGAACTGATGTTTGAACTAATTCGCATAACTCTGTTTATAAATATCTCTTTTATATAAGAAGTAGTATCTGTAAAATAAAAAAAATAAAGATACATGAATACAATATGACTTCAATGATAAATATGCGTAAGTGTCGATAAACATAAAACTATTAGATTGCCAAACTGATATTTTTTTAAAAAATAAATAATAGAACATTTTATTTTCATATGTGTATCTGGTGCTCATTTTAATTTCATTGTACATTTGAAGTATGTACATTTTTTTTGTTGTACATCTTTTATGGAAAATACAACAACTTCTCGCTCTTTTCAAATATTGTACTCTCTCAAAAGATATTTTCATAAAAATAGGGTCTTACAAAGTCTTCTAGGCCTTGAAAAATATTCTGTTTAACTTGTTCGAAGTCTCATTCATATATTTCAACCATGAAATTTTCATGCACAATGCATTTGATAGGAGTCTTCATTGGCTACTCATATCAGTTTTTGCTGCAAAACCATTAAATTCAGCAGTTCTTCGCATGTCTTAAGAGACATAATGAAATGCTGTAGATTGTTCACGTCTTTGTCTATCACAGTAATTAGTCAATCTACAGCATCGAACATTACATAGATTGCTTGATGTCCTAGAATGACCAAGAACACTATAGAAGCGGCTTTATCTTTAGCTTTTTCATGTTTCCACTGTTGGAGATAGAGAACAAAAGCTTACATTGAATATTCTATTTTTTATTTCTCTGTACGTTTGCAAAATTAATAATAGAAAGGAAAAAATACTGATTAATCATGCAGTGAGGTCTCATTTCTTAACCTGTTTTTAAAGCTTTTTGTCGACTTTCCTTGATCACTCATGCTCCCCAGACATCAGCGGAAGAGCAATCCCGTCTGACAAAATTTACACTGTAGACACGAAAAGAGTCAGTAGAGTGTGATAGTTGCAGCTAAGAATATATGATGTACTAAACCAAAAGGTTGCTAGATAACTTTGTTTTTTTCCACTTCTTTTTGGATATTAAAAACTGTCAGTTTGGTTGCGTAATTGGAGAAAGCGCGCGAGAGTAGTCTAGAAGGTCGAGGAAGAAGACTAATAAATACATACTTATACTCACGATTTATTTATAGTAAACTGCGCTGATATTTTAGAGAAAAAGCGCTGAATAAATCAATTTGGTGCTTTGTTCGAAATCAAAATCAAATAAGCCGCCTATTTGTAATAAAATAATTGCATTCAATAAAAGCCCATCTAAACGGATTAGAATTTGTCGATAAAAATTGATTTTACGTCAAAAAAAAAATCGTGATTGATATGTGCTTTGGCAATGGACTTAATTTTGACTTAAATGAAGTCACGACACTGATTTGAACCAGAACTCAAATTGAACTGGCATTTTTCGCTTGAGTTCTATTCGTTTGAGAGCTCTCACTTGAGTTATTTTCTTTTTTTATAAATCAATAAAAACAAACTATGTGTTCAAACTGCTCGCTGTGATACGGATAAATGAAATCAATGGATATCGCTTCTTTTTTCCTGCCATTCCTCTGAATCTAACTTTTTTCCCAACATTCATTTCAATATGCATGAAATAACTTGAAACAGACAACTACAGTTTTCGGCGTGCGAAGCTATAAGTTTACTGTTCGATCGAGTTTACTCATTGGTTGCATACACGAATTTGAGATATCTAATCTATAGAACAGTAAATTGAAATCCATTAAAATGGAGCCACCATTAATTTTATCCGGTATAAATCATTTGTAATACTTTTTTTTCCAAAAACTTTTCTTTTGTGTAACCCACTTCAAAACTATATAGTGTAATTTCTTATTTTAGAACTTCCTGCATACTTTCTTACGAACACTAATGATTTTATAATATCTTGCACAAAACTCGAGAAATAAAAGATCGTTAGATACCTTGTTGTCTAGCACATCACATATCCTATCTTATAGTTATTTTCTCCCTACTGATTTTTTTTAATGATTATGTTTCAGACTCGATCAATTGCTACTTCTATTCCGTCAATTTCTGCACAGTTCGAGTGACCTGACTAGTTTAAAAAAAAAGAAAGAAATCGTTTGAGAAATTCGACCTGATTTCACAATTTTCAATATTCCACTCAATTATTATTTTCTACATCTCACTAAGGAATAGTAAAATATCCAATATAAGCTCTTGATTTTCAACTCTTATAGAGAAAATATAAAAAAGTAAATATAAAGTTGATTTTAGAGCATTCTGAAGCATTTTGGAACAACAGGAGCTGTGATGAGCGAAACTGAAAATCGACTACATAAATGTCATGACTGGTGATGAAACAAACGATCAGCAGTACTGCAAAATACCTGAATTTGCATAAGAACCACTTGAAGTTAGTGTTCGGAGTGCAAATAAGCGAGCACTGACGTGAAAACAAAGAACTTTATTGTTTTGATTGGAGAAAAATAATTACAGATATGTTATGATATTCTTCCGCTGAACGACGACAGAATGAATGCGAGGTGAGATCAAAAAGGAGCAAAAAGAATTGACCAACGAAAAATGAACAGAAAAAAAGAAAAGAAATGAACGACAACAACATAGTAACTAGTGAAGAGAAAAGACGAGCATCTAGTCAATCAAAAGGACGAAGACAATATCTGAGTTGGATAGATCGGCAGAGCTGTAGTCGGTTCAAGCGATCATTGATTTTTAAAAAGATTTCTACACCTGTGAAATCTGCTCTTTCATCTTAAGAACGAATGTTTTGATTGTGGATTTCATATTTTAGCTCTATCGGAGACGACTTTGAAAAAGAGTTCCAATAAACACATGTGAAATAAGCTAAGCTTTGACAGCAGCATTCAGCATCCAGAAATTGGGCTCCAATATCAAATTATTGATCTTAAAAAATTTATCTTTGTCTCGTATTGAAGCGTCAACTAATATATTGAATATTGCTCTCCTTTTCTACCTTCTCTCAAGGAAGAAAAAGCAGACTTCTGTACTTTTATTTATCTCCGTACTTCTGCATATTTCCCTATATTTCTGGCACCGCTTCGTAGTTCTTTATACTTCTCTATATTTCTTAGTACTTCTTCATACTTCTCTATACTTTTTCGTACTTCACAATACTTCTTGATACTTCTGTACTTCTACACTTCTTTGTGCTTCTTCATATTTCTTCATACTTCGCACACTCCTTCATATTTCGCGATATGTTTATGTGGTTCTATTTTGTTTTTAGATTTGTCTTTCATTTCAGAGATAGAAGAAAGCTATAGTTAATTTCTACTTATAATGTAGGTTTTGATTTAAAAAAGTAAACAAATAACGAAAGTAGGACTTACAATTGAAGACAAAGTAGTAGTTCTCTTGTCCATTTCACGTTTTTTCTTTTGCAACAACATTTTCAAATAGAAAAAAAATTACGGCTTTTCTTTCTGATAATAGCGACCACAACAAAATAGAAAACATGCGCAGCAAGAGAATCGATACTTCTTATAACGATGATTAAAAAAAGACTAATGCTGAACATTAAGCAGAAATAAATGCTGATATTCATTAAAAAAAATCACGGTCATTGCATGGTAAAAAACAACGGTAATATAAAAATGACATATGAAATGAACTTAAATAATTTATGATGAAAATGAAATAGAGAAATTAACCTGGATACTACTAATGTTCTTATGGTTTTATTTTTACTGTTGAATAAATATATTCAGCTAACCCAACCTTCTCATCCTACTGTAAAAATTAATATACTTCACGGTACTTCCATATGCTTCTCGACGATTCTTGGTACTTCTCGGTATTTCTTTACTTCTTCGTACTTCAGGAATGCAGAAGTCTGCTTTTTTTCTGTTACCCTCCCTTTAGCTATCTCGCGCAAATCTAAACAAGTAGGCCTATTTATTAATTATAGTTAACATGCAATTTTTTTTTTCTTCAACTACTAGACATATTGTTCACTTAGCTTTCTATATTATGCTAATGATATTTGTATGATTTTCTAAGTGACGTTCATGCTTTCTGTATCGCTATTCAAATTTCGTCGTGGATCGATTGCTCATTTTGATTTGTTTTTCAGATGTATGCACATCCATTTCTTCACTATCCTTCTCTCATTCTTACAAGTGTTAGTGTTAAGCTTCGCTGTATTTTTTTGTACTACTTGGAAGAAAGTATTCTTAAATGAGATACATACTGAAACTGATGCTGAACCATTGGTTCTTTACAAAAAACCATGAAAAACTTGGATACTGTACAGAACCATTTACAATTTTGTATGAAGTACACGAAATGTTTTAGTATTTAATGAGGCTATGCAAGGCTTTGTAACAAAAGTGAAAAATCTTCAGATATCTTACGAAACTAATCATCGTTTCGTATAAAATATATCAAACCATCAGATAGATTACGAAGCAATCAGACTTTTCGTGTAAAATCTGCAGAATCTTCGGACGGACTACTAAACTATCAATCGTTCTGTATCAAATATACCAATTCTCGATAGAGTTCACGCAACTATCGAATGTTTTGTGCAAAGTATGTTAAACTTTCACACAGTCTACGGAACTATCAAAAGTTTTCTATACAATATACCAACCCTTCATGTAGTCTACGGAACCATTCATGGTTTCGTACAAAAGAAGACGAAAATTTTTTGTAGACCATGAAACCAACAGCTGTTCCGTGGAAATATTACGAAATCTTCTTTTATTTTACGAAACTATCAGACGATTAGTACTTGATGTACGAAACCACAAGGCACTTTGCCGAACTTACGAAGAGTTTTGTTCCAGAATTGCGATACCCTATGAAACCTGCTGAACTTTAAAAAGTTCTGAATCAAAACAACGAAACGATTTGCATTTTACCCAACTTTAAATCGTTCGATCCCAAAATGTGAAACTTTTAAGGTTCAGTAATGTACTCAGAGCTGGGCAAGTCAAGTCAAAAATGCCTCAAGTCAAGTCAAGTCAAGTCTGACTTGACTTGACTTGACTTGAAAGTTTTTTTAGGGACTTGGCTTGACTTGTGACTTGAGAAGCCTCTGACTTGCCCAGTTCTGTTTCTTATAGGCATTGTTTTTTACCATGAAATAGAATTCTGAGACTATAAACATTGATTCTCATCCGATAAGTGCTAGTAAATGTCATGTTCTGCCTAACTTTTAATCGGACTTGACTTAACTTCTAGGAAAAAATTTCGAGAAATGACTTGACTTGGCTTGATTTGGCTTGACTTGATTTGACTTGACTTGACTTGACTTGGTTGAAAAAATTTTGGAATATGACTTGACTTGGTCGAAAAAATTTTGAGGTGTGACTTGACTTGACTTGACTTCACTTGATCGAAAAAATTTTGGGACGTGACTTGACTTGACTTGAAAGTTTTTTTAGTGACTTGACTTGACTTGTGACTTGAGAATCAATGTTTATAGTCTCAGAATTCTATTTAATG